TTGCTGTACAGCAGGAATTAACACAACATCGTAAATCAACTCTACATCAATTTAAAAAAAGAAAAAAAATCACACACTTCTGAATCAGACAGTCCTGGGTCCAAATATTGGGTCCAAATATTGGCCTCGGGCCAATCACTTAACCTGATTGAACCGCAGTTTCTTCATCTGTGAAATGGAAATAGGAACAGTACCTATCATAGAGGTCACCGTGAGCATTAACGATTGGTTGTATAAAAAGGACTTAGCACGGTGCTGGCGACACAGTAGGTGCTCAATAAATGTGAGCTTTTTTATGTCAGTGAAAGTAATGACAATGATAAGAATAATGATGATGATGATCAAAGGAGGCATTAGAGGCTACAGAGATGCCCAAGGAGTCCCCCTCTCTGGGGAGAAGGGCAGGTCCCAGCTCATTACTGGTGGGGGCTGGGTGGAGGTGTCAGATTGGAATCACTCCTGGGTCTATTCGCAGCTTCTCTGTTTCATTAACACCTCCCTGGTGGTCTTCAGCTCATCCTGCTGGGGGAGGTGCCTCCTAGAGCTCCCTGCTCCCCACTCCTGGGTCTGTGTTCAGACCCACATACAGAGAGTTTTATGTGGGAGAGAGGTGTCCACTGGCTTGGAGGCTGTCACTGTCCCCTCCCCCCAAGGTCCTGGGGGCCTGGTCAGGGGGTGTAGCACCTGAGGCTGTCCCTTCCTCTCCCCTCCCCCATCAACCTCTCATCCCCACTGCATCCCAGCCTGGCCGCTTCTTCCTTCCTTTTGAATCTCGAATCTCCCGGTGACTCGGTGTGAACATAGCTTGATCTTGGGTTCGCATCCTTACCCACCTCTTCCCAGCTGGATGACCTAAGGCAAGTGGCTGTCCTCTAGGACATGTATTCAGTTCTGTAAAATGGGGACACGATACTCACAGCCTGGTAAATTGTTAAGCTCTCTACAATGGCAGCCGTTGTTGTTATTTTACAGGGAACAACAACTGCTCTCAGAATTATCATTTTAAACCGCAGGACTTTGTTTAGCCAACTGGGGTAGGGGAGCAGGGCCAGAGCCCTGAGGACCATTAGGTTCAAAGAAGCAGGAAAGGGCATGAACTTTGCCCCAGTTAATTGTCCCAGTTTCCTCCCCAGACTGGGAAAGGGAGTGGGGCTGGTCATTGAATTGGGACGGGGAGATTTATACCTCGGGCTCTGGGAAGGCTGCTTCTAAACAAGGTTCCCCTCCACTACACTCCAAGAAGGATTCTTATGGAAATGCCTGTCCTTCGCCCCCTGCGTGCCCTCTCTGTCACAATATTCCATTTCAGAGGACACCCTTCACCAGCTGCGGCGGGCCGGGAGGAGGGGCTGGGCCCGGGCTTCCCCCCCAACCCCCAGACTCAGCAGTCTGGCTGAACTTGGCCCCTTCTGCGTTCTCCTGCCACCTCTGCGCCCCAACCCTGGTCCGCCTCAGACACCCTGCTTTTTGCTGAGGTTTGTGGGTGTCAGAAGGGAGACTCTAAAAAGTGGTACCTTTTGTGGTTTATCTGTCACCTCAAAAAAACATCAGTGGGCTGAACAGTTTCCTTCAGAAAGAAGAAAATGAGACACAAGTCAGCAAACGAGGGAGACAGTAAGACAGTGGGCTTGGTCCCTTCTTGCAAGCAGCCTCACAGGCCTCCCCACAGGCCTCTGCAGACACTAAGCCCCTCCCACTGCCTAGGAACACCCACTCCCCTCCTTTAGACTATGGGGCAGGAGTTAGTTAGCTTTACTCCTTTTGTATTCCCGGGTCCCAGCACAGGGCCAGGCACATACTGGAGGTTTAAAAACCATGAATGAACAAGCAAATAGGTCCTGAGATGGGAGACTAATTGCCTCCCTCTCCTCTTCTCTATGGTGGGGTGGGGGGCAAATCTCTCAGCA